CGTTCAGCAGCTGAGCAAACGAAAAGGCTATCCGACGAAATCGCGAACCGTGTTCCTCTTTAAGATCCAGTCGTTTTTCCTGCCTCGTTTCCACGGAACCGCTACTCCCTTTTTTCCGCGAACAATCTCCTCCGATTCCACGCGAACATTTCGAGTTTCATGCGGACGCGCGATTTCTCACGAAAATCCACGGTGTTCGAACCTGCAAGAGAAATGGCTGTTTTTCGAGATTACGCGTACGGCCGCGCACGCGAAGCGCTCGTTTTCATGCGCCGTCGACATGCATTTGAAGTCTCAATCTCGTTTCTTGGAATCAATTTCAGACCTAGGAGCACGGACAGATATCCCGAGCGTGGATGCTGAAGAAATAGAATGTTGATGTTTTCACGAAACATCTGGCTACGTGGGATGGGCGATAAAACTGATACATTTGAATAAATGATTCAGCAACCAGAATAACTGTACTCTATCATTTACTCCGGACACTCGAGCATCGAGGTTGTGGCTAGAACTGTACCATTAACTTTCCCTTGTTACATCACTGGATTAATATCACTTACTATAATAATATAGATTAGTTTTGTAGAGTGTCAGGATGTCGCTAACAAGTTTAATGACAGTAAGGCTTAATTACTCGATTAACTCCAACCTGGACGAAGCTAGAGTGAAACAGTATCGCTCTGTGGAATAACTGCATTCGTAAACTGCTGCAATTACTGGCACAAGTATACTGCAAATTAGACTTAAATTTGACCGTACCTAACAAACGTAGACAGTTAACAAGTATCCAACATCGAAACTCACGTGTTGACGATCGTTAAATCCTTCGATTACCTCATAATCTCTCGAGAGAACAGTGCGGTCCAAGGACATCATCCGCGATTAACAAGTTAAAAAGAAACAGCGAAATTATACACTCAGTGGAAAATCAGAATCGCCACATTCGATAGCCACCAGTTTTCCTCCGGAATCCTGGTCCTGAAACGAGCAAAGCGGTAAACCTGTTCCTGCATCCCGTACGAAGGTCTACCAATAAAACAAAGATCCACGTTCGAGACGAGCGTTCCTGAAGGACGCGGAGGAAGGTGAAGGGCCAATTACCCATAATTTCGTGTCTCGTGTAATTGGTGGAGAGGTCGGCTGGAAAGAGGAAGAGAAAGCAGGAGAGAATACGGTGTCTCGAGGGTCCGTGTTTCACCTTCTCGTTGCATCGAACTACCGTGTCTCGTTGGATACTCGAGATTAATTCAATTTCACCTACCCGGCTCGGATTCCGAACGGGCACCGTGCGTGTGCACCTAAATCCTAGCCACCCGAGCTACTTAATCGGCTAACTAGTAGTCTTCGAGGACTGGGCTCAACTGTCTGACCCTAAAGGGGAGGACTCCTCGAATGTTCCCACCATTTCTACCCTTTTCATTCGATTCTCCTTTACTTGTACTGGATCGTGCACTTTCACATCATACAAATTTCAGTTAGATCTTTTTTATGACTGACTCGAGTTTATAACTGACTTGAGTGAAATATTTCCTTTCTGAAGGTTTCAAGAAGTGCACTCTCGACAACCAATGTATCAAGGCACAATGTGTCCAAGCCTAAATATTAACTTACGGATTTGTCAGATTTGTCTTCAGATTTATTCCATGAAATGGATTTGTCTCAAGTGAATATTAAATTTTATACGAATTTGTTTCAGTACCCCAGCCTACGACTACGCGCCAAATCCCGATAAGCAATGGATCCTCCAGGTGACCCAGAAGATGCAGCCAATCCACAAGCAGTTCACGGACCTGCTGATGACCAAAAGGCTTCAGACGCTGCAGAGCGTCGACAATGCAGTAGACAGGGTATGCGTGATTCATTCGTTTAATGTCGTTTCCGCGGACACGTATTAATTTAACCTTTCGCCACAGACGTGGCAAAAAAAGAGAGAAAAATTGCGAACGTCCGTCGAAACGTTTTTACGTTCTTGTTAACAGATCTACCAAGAATTGAAGGACCTGGGAGAGTTGGACAACACGTACATAATATACACGTCCGACCACGGCTACCATCTGGGTCAATTCGGTCTGATCAAAGGGAAAAGTTTCCCCTTCGAGTTCGACGTGAGGGTACCGTTCCTCATCAGAGGGCCTGGAATCGAACCTGGCACCATGTGAGCTACTCTTTATTATTGTTTCCCCCGGTTTCTTGGATTTATACATAGTCTCGATCGTACGTCGGGCAACCGGAGACAAATAAACGTACGATCACACGAGGAGCCGGTTAAGTACGAAGAGGAGGCGTGAAGTTGTAAATCATGTCAGTCAGAAGAGACTGGTAGCTACATTTAGTTAAATTGATTCACCAAGTGGAGGAAGATTTACAGCGCGACCGCGTGTCAGGTCGTTTAGACTTTTCGAAGCTTGCTCTCTCGTTTTAATTCTCTGTCTTGCTCGAACTCGATCAACATTGTTCTCATAAATTTATGTTAGAACTGCGTGCTGTCTTAACAAGATGACTTGGGGGTTGTCGATGTCCACTTGAATTTTATTTCATTAACCTCGGAATATTTAGACATTAGGAATGAAATTTTGAGACATATAGGGGTCTGAATTGGGAATCTAAGAATCTGGGTATTTAGCTATCTAGGAACATACATATGTGTACATAGATAGGAACGTAAAAAGGATATCTGGTAATCTAGAGATGTAGGAAGCTACGAGCTGAACCGTAATTACGCCATCAATTATCGAACACAAAAAGCAAACCATAATTTAATCCCACAAAAGAAGTTTCAAAGGCGATAAATTATCCACGGCCAACCGGAAAAAAAATTCACCGGTTCAAGTTGCCAAACTACCGCGCGAACGAGAATCCGCGTATAAATTGAAGCATAAGGATGCCTGTTATAAACATCGCCCTGCTAGATTAATGCTCTTCGCGCTCGCGCATTTCCTCGTGCGGTCTTCCCTCCGCCTTAATAAGCGGCGCCACGTTGCTGCCGCGGACCGGAAACAGTCGAAAAACGCGACACCGCATTGCAGGAAAAAGCGTTTCCGTATTCTCCAACGGACATTTCCGATGGGCCAGACAGATTTAATTTCATTTCTCGAATATTTCGCAAAATGAGAGGGCAGAAGCATCGTATTTCAACGAGTGATACGAGGAAGGAGTTACGTAGTCTGTTCTGAAATTTTAATCTAATCAAAGCTTCTCACGAAGATGATAGAGTGGATAGGGTCACTGTGAAGGTTAAAGACGAGAATGATGTTTAAATTACTGTAGATACATCGTCATTGCCCATCGCCATCATCATTAATTATTATATGCATACTAGTCGAGTATAAAATTGTATAACTAGAATATATAAATGCTAGATACGATATTCACCCTCAGAGGGATGATATCGGATTACAATAAAGCATCTATATGACGTTGCAGAGTAGACGACATAGTTTTGAACATCGACTTGGCGCCGACGTTCCTGGACATAGCCGGCGTCGAGACGCCGCCGCAGATGGACGGTCGTTCTTTCAAGAAACTTTTTCAGAAGTGAGTACACGCCAATTTCTCTCGGCGACCATCAAATTTACGGCCAATCGCTACCTTGAAAAAATGACCAACTTTGCAGTAAACACGGCAGAAGATCGAAGTTCAAGTGGCCGGACACGTTCCTGATCGAATCTTCGGGTCGCCGCGAGACCCCGGAATCCATCGCGGAAATGAAAGCGAGGGAGGCGAGGAGACAGAATCAGACTCTCGCGAGACAGCATTCGAACACGACACCGGAAGAGGAAGACGAGAACGTGGCGGATACCGAAACGGATCGCGAGCCGGAGCACCGGTTCTTCGAGAACGACACCGGTAGCGATCAAGACATCTCCGAGGACGTGGATTTCGAGGATTCGATCATCGACGAATCGAGTAAGAGTTCTTCTTTCGTTTCACATAATCGTAAATTTTCGTCCTTTATTGCCGTATTTCTGCACCGAGGATACAGTTTCTAGCACGTAACACTTCGCGATGACCTTTTCGTTGGTAATAAAATCGCAGCTCGGGGTGCCGTAATCTCGCATTATCGTCCTCTGGCAGATAAATTACTTTGAGTACGAATTTACGGGAGTCGATGACGGGATTTCAGCGACCCTCCGAGACTTTACGAGGGCCATCCAATAAATAAGGAGACAATAGCTCTAGTTAAAATAGTATTAAAGTAAAAAACCTTCGGAATCGTTAGCTCCTTTAGCAATTTAAGGTCTCAATCTTTATCGTTTGATAACTACAATTGTACCAGATTATGTTGAATAATTGAAATATTTACCTAAACCATATTGAAATCGCTCGCTTATTGATCAAATAACAAAACGGGGTCCTTGGAGAGTAACTCGAAACCAGGAGTTACTTTGACGATTAAAATCGACACGCTACAGCGAGCGTATTCCACGAAGAATCCTCGAAATGCAAACTTTTAATTAGTTCCGAGTGCCGTTGTATCGCAAGATACCAGAGAAACTTCGGCTACATGGTAGGAATCAGTCGCAAATGAAACTCGCGGATTCTTATTCGACTGAGTTGGATTATCCTCTCAAAAAGGGTTCGATCATAAATCTCGTCAAGCTTTCACTCGAAGATTTACGCACCTCTAATCCCATTTTATTGCCGCATGTTGCCGCGGTGCTCTCGCGAGTTTGATCTATGGATACACACGATCATCTTATGGAGGAGCGAATGCTCGTAATCAAGATCAAATCAATAAACGATCAAGAAAAATAGGATAGATAGCACAATTCGTAAAAAACCTGACATGTGATCCTGGAAATGAACCTTCGTTTAGGGTCTGTTAATACTATGCTGCTGTAATGACACTTTACTGTAATTTTTCAAGAAAACGAGTTTCAACTTATAATTAGTTCTCTTCAAATTTTTCTCTTCAATGATAAAATAATTTGACGTTGAAGGTCAATTTTTACGACAACTTCCTTCCCGATGCAAAAGTGTAGTAACATTATGAAATCCATGAGAAATTATTCTTTCGTTCTGTGTATTCCTGATGTCTCCTTTCGCTCTCATTGAACCTAGCATCCCCCATGAAGCACATCGCTACTCCCACGATTTCTGTTGTTCTGCGCAGATCCCATGGATTCCCTTTCAGGCTCCGATCCGCATCTGGACAACAGAGTGTATCCGGTGCACTCGACCTTTTCCGCGAAGCACGAGCGCTTGGCGATCGAGTGTTCGCGTCCGGAAGCGCAGGCCAATTGTGTGCCGGGTCAGAAATGGCGTTGCGAGAGGGACGGTCATCGATGGAGAAGGCACAAGTGCAAGTACGCCGCGCCTCCGTTAAGGATCTCGAAGAAATGCGCCTGCTTCACGCCGAACGGAGTGGTGTACACGAGGTTAGAGTCGAACGACTACGAGGGACATCGATACGGCTTCGGCAGGGACAGAAGGCCGGCTGATGTCTACACAGATATGGCTAGATACTTTGCTAGACGGGGTACGCTGCTCCGTAATCACTGATCTCCGCTTAATGGGAACGCGACGATGAGATTTGTAATTCATGGCCACGATCACGATTTTTGTCAGGCAAACGAGACGCGCCGGACGAGGCTGCCGCGGTCGACGAAGATGCTAGTCGTGATACCGAGCAGCTGGATGATGACTATAATGATGGTGACCGTGACCGGCGAGCCATCGACGAGGAAGACGACGAGGAGTTCTTCCAGGAACTGATCAAACTCGCAGACGGCGTCAAGAGAGAGTACAACAGTCTATTTTCTAGGTATTCACGGTTTTTATTGTTTCGGGATTTTGTAGGCTAGTATTCTTGTTCTATCAGCGTTGCAACTTTGTCGGTAATACCGGTGTTAAATGACGATATCTTGCGGCAAAGTGTTACGGTATATGGAACCGTACTTGGATATCAAATTGCTCGAAACTCATTAAAGGGTGCTATCGCAGCTATCATTAGATAAGAAATCTAACCATGACGAAGACGTAACGTTAGCGAAATACCTTGCAGCTGCACACAAATTACAACTAAAAGACTCGGACGTTAAACCGTAGAAAGCTATCGATGCTTTCTCCGATAACTCTTGGGATTCATGATCGATGCGTTTGCAGGAATAATTTTAATAACCAGACACTGGACGACAACACGCTGGAGTTCGATAACTTGAACGAGTCCGAATATTCGATCGACGACTTCGATCCCAGTTTGGATAAGGTGGTGAAAGGCCGGCTGAACGTGGAGGACGTGGTGAAGAGACACAGGAGGATACGGAGGAGTACCACGAAGAAGGATACCGTTGAACATGTTACTAAAATCATGGAGAGCATAGAGGAAGAGCTGGATGACTTAAAGGTAATTTTCGATATACAAAAATTTTGATTTACGATGAACAGAAAAATTGATGTTTAAGGCTACGCAAATCCGCCACTCGGAGACTCGAAAAACACTGCCGCCAAAGTGTTCAGTTTTACCACAGGGTGGAGTGAACTGCTCGGAGACTGTGTACCAGGACCCGAACGAATGGCGTATCTCTAGGCGAGAAATCGAGCAACAGATAAGAGAAATGAGGATGCAACTTGAAACGTTGAAAGTGAGTGAACTATACTTGTTCATCTAGTATGTATTACGAACATAATCGTATCTTTTTTCAGGACATACGTCGTCATCTGATGACCAAGCGACCCCACGTCAACCGGGAGACCGAGGAAGGGCCTAGGAATACCCAAGAGCCTCATAAATCGCACCATCACGCTTCGAAGAACCACGCGAACCGTCATCACAAGAAACACGATCACGCCAGCACTGTTAATCCTACCGTTACGACTGTTCGTTCCACGTCGAAGCTGGACCAAGTCACGGAAGACAGAACTACGTCCACGGGGACTACGGAGAAACTGAGGATGAGTGTTACGGAAAACACTGATGACCCCGATACGACCACCGTAATTGAAACAACAGCGACGACCTTATCGACCACTGCCAAACCAAAGAAAGCGTCGCGTCGACAGAAGATAAAAGAAGCTACGAACAATCGAACGGAAGTGGAGGACGATAGACCACTGAGACGCAGGAAGGTTCATCATCACCGTAGAAACAATACGCTGTTCACGAACAGCGTGCACGATGAGGTGCCGGTTGTGAACGTTAGCGAGATAGTTGAGACAACTGTGACTACTCAAAGTTCCACAGGCACACAGTATCAATCGAGTAGGTATACCACTCTTCCCACCACAGTGGTGAAGGAAACAACCGCTCAGAGGGAGACCTTGAGCAGCGCCGGGGTCACGAACGAGTCCACAAAGGAGACCACGTTGGAAATGGACCCGCAGACGATGACGTCGATGACGACGGAGACCACCCCAAGCGAATCAACCCCTATAACTTCCAGAACCGAAGCTCGTTCCAGAAATACGTTCACAACCGCTGTCACGACGACACCGGTTACTCCAACGAAGAAGTTTCCAAAAGTTCAGAAGAACAGGACGAGTGGAAATCTTGGGCCGTCCAGAATAGACGTGACCATCTTGGAGTCTCCGGACAGGAAAGGCACACAAGGTTGGTGATATGGAGTATTTTGAAATTGATAAATATGGGGTCTGACCATACGTGTTTCTTTTAGATATAATAGATATAGCAAATAATCGTCGACTACCACCGATGCTGAACAGCCCCCTAGAGGCTCGCCACAAATGCTACTGCGAGCCTGACTCCTACTCGAAGAAGGACGAGAAGGAGATCGCCCGAGAAGAGAGAAGAAGACTGAAAGAGGAACGATTGAAGAAGAAGGAGAGGAAGCTAAGAAAGAAGGCTAAGCTCGAGAAAGAGTGTCTGACGGAGAAGATGAACTGCTTCGAGCACGACAACGACCACTGGCGCACTGCCCCGTTGTGGAGCGCTGGTCCATTTTGTTTCTGCATGAATGCCAACAATAACACGTATTCGTGCATTAGAACCATTAACGCCACGCACAATTTCCTCTACTGCGAATTCACCACTGGGTTGGTCACGTATTATAATCTGAGGATCGGTAAGTATTTTTTAATTCTTTTAGGGAAGGGAGTTTATATCATGATCGATTTTGGTTGCTACAGATCCATTCGAACAGTGGAACAGACTGTCGTCGTTGACGCCCTCAGAACGTTCTTACCTTCACGATCAACTGGAACATTTGAAAGGGTGCAAGGGTACCAGGGATTGTACAGTTGGGAGCGCGAGGGAAGCTATGCCGCAGCTTCAGCAGCATCAGAGATATATTTCGAAGAGAAAATATGCTAACACCTTCGGTAGGTTTCACTGATACGGTGAAGAAATATGGTTTGATCGTTTATATACTTGTTCGTTTCCGTAGAGGACATGTTTGTACCGTCAACGTTACAAATTATTCGTGAAAGCGAACTTGGTAGTCCGCCTAATAAGAGACGAAAAAAGTTGCAAACGTAAGTACAACTTTTGAATGCTTGACTAGTTAGTGCGGGCATGCACGACGAGCCTAGGAAACTAAAAATCCCAAAGTTGAAAATTTCCAAAATCCCAAGTTCTCGAAGTTTCAAAATCGCGAGGTTTCAGAGTGCCATACTTCTAAGATACCAAAGTCGCAAAATTCTCGAAATTCCAAAATCCTGAACCTATTATCTTACGAGGAAACAGAAAACGACAATAAAAAATGAATGTTTTAGATATGTAGAATATATGTATTTCGTGTTTTCTGTATTGAACAGCGTTTGGAACAGACGTAGCAGAAGCTGGCAGAGTAGTTGGAGACATCATCAAGACTCTGTGAATTATCGACGGCACAGACATCAGTACTGATCACCGTTCGTTTTTCATTGAACAAATCGTCGAAGGATGCCTGACAGCATTGCCTTGGATGTGTATTCATTTTGCAATGCATTTAATAACGTAATTTATTTAGTGATATTTAAATTGGGAACGGAAACGTGATATTTAATTGATGACGTTCTGATTCCGTTAGACTGCCGCAGCTCGAGGAGTTTACTGTGTATATTTTTCAACGCTATTTTTCTTCACGGCAAAATTAACGTGTTGTGAACGAGAAAAACAATCGGAAACACGATCTAATGAGGATCCATTTTTTTACTTAATAGCAGATATTTTTTATAATAATTTATTCATCTCACGTCTCTTTAGGTCTTTATACAACAAACGAATAATTACGATGACTATAATTCTAGCCATCGTCTAATAACGCACGATGCCAAGACTGTTTCGATGAAACTGATAAAATCAGTGGCACCATTTAATCTGCGCAATCTATTGTCTTACTAGAAGCAGTATGGAAACTTTTATAATTGCTATACCTAACAGTCCCTGCCATGAAAAATGGAATGCTGATGGATGCATACACTGTTATAAATAAGAAATAAAGATAAATTTATTGGAAAATTACAGATATGCTTTGTTAAGTATAAAGACAAGTTTATATAGTATTCAGTCTTTCCTATCAAGAGTTACGTATAGTTTAATTATCGAATTTAATATGCCTTTACACAAGCTATATAGCTAGGTAACTTGTCTCCATTAGCATTTTATTTTTTTTACAATTATATGTCTGTGTTATGTACTAGATTCTCAGATAGTGTCCTGAGAATATCTTCAAGATTTTGAAACTGAAGCCATGTATTTAAATCATGTGAAATAAATAAATAAACACTGTCCAAACGATGATAAATATCTCATTTATTTAATCAAAACCTTAGAGAAATAATATTTTAAATAATGATACTTGGAATCAAGATATTCCAGTTTTTAATTTGACAAATACACATTTAGAAGTTAATAGTATCATCAAAATCTTCATTGTCATCAAAAATGTTTTTTGCAGATTTAGCTTCATTAATATTTTCATCATTGTACTGGGTATGACTATCAATGTTACTTTTATTATCAAATGTTTCGCTTTCTTCAATCGTGTTATCATTTTGTTCATCATATTCTTCTTCGTTATGAAAATGTTCTTGCTCAAAATTACTTTGGTAATTGCAACTAATATTAGTATTTACGTATTCAATCTCTGAGTATTCCTCTATTGTGCTATTAGTATCTAGACATGTAGGTTCATGAACCTCTTGGTAGTTACTTCTTTCGCTACATGAAAAGCTAGATACTCCAGCAGTATCTTCTGGAGTATCTAAATACTTTGCCCATTTGTTTTCAACTTTCTCAGTATTTGACTGATTGGAAAAGTTAGCACAGTGATAATTATTTACATTGCTATCGTCATCAAAGTATTCATTTGTTTGATTCTCTTGTATTTTTAATAAATTCAATTTCTGAACGCAAATACGACAATCTTTTCCTGAACCTCTAAAGAATACCTAAAAAGGTAAGTGTGAAGGCTATCTTGTTTATTAACTGCACTAATACAACCAATAATGCAAGTTTCCAGTAAAGTTTATTAAGTATGACATAACAATAAACTTACTTGTTTTAAAATTTGTTTGTGATTACATACTTTACACTTCCATTTCTTTGCTTGTTTAATCATGTGCACCTATAAAATAAACATAACATGAAGAATTGAAAGTTACATTTTATGTTCTTCATTGTAACCACAATATATTTAAAAATTACCTGATACATTTTACACGAACAACAGCGTAAAACATTCATATCTTGTGGCATGATATTAAATTTTTTGGGAATAAAAGAAGAATAAAATTACACAATGTTAAAACTGTTATGCTCAAAGCACTTCCAGACGATTTCAAACTTTGACACTTGAAGTATGGCGGTCAACGACAAAATTTCGGCGGGAAGAATCTACTAAGTTTAAATTTCAATAATAAAATTACACATAATTAATTTCATTTATTAACTTAAGAAAACTCGATGTATATAGCTTCAATTTGTCGAGTTACACATTATTATTATATAAGTTTAAAAATTATTGAAAGTCAATTTTGCAGTTAGGCAAAGCTTCACTGAGTTCTCTATTGACGAAATCTTTCTTCTTGACATATATAAGTCCTTGAAGTTTCAAACTTTCCAAATTTCTGTAAATTAAAATAAAATAAAACAAATGATTGTACCTGAAATTATATTTATACTACATGTATTCTCATGTGCCACGTACTTCAATACTTTTAAGCTAAGCAGACCCTCATCACTAATGTTAGCACAGCTTATAATTTCCAAATTATTCAATGAATCCTTAAGAATTGATAAATATGGCAAAGCATTATTATCAACATATTTACAGTTTTCAAGTTTTATGTCTTTAACATATTTACATCCCTCTGTATTAAAAAATGTCATGAGTAATTATGTTTCTCCACAATTTTATTTCATAAAGATAATTTTATAACACTGACTGAAATGTTCAAATCCTACGTCACATATCCCAGCATTATTAGCATCAACACCCTCAATGTAATATTGCTGCCCATTTTTTGGTAACGCATTATAATCTGTTAATAATTCAGGAACATCTTTCCATTTAACAAATCCTCCATTTTTTAAAAGCCATTCTGCACATGCACGATCAGGACCAACCTCTTTAACACGGTCTTCATCAACTCTTAAAAAGGAACATCCGATATCAATAATTATTCTGTATAATTGAAAACTAAATATTGTCCCTTTACTGTAATACCTGTTGAACATGAGTGTAACCCAATAAAATAAAGGTCTTACATGACTTCTTGTGTTCGAAAACACAATAGATCTTATTTTGCTAAAAATCTGAAAATAAGAATGTATGTAGCAAGTTTATAAATTTACTTACACAGCAAAGTATATGTCATTTAAATCATACAGGGATTGTCATTTCTTTATTGTTGAATATATAATATAAAAGATGTAACTGAAGCTTAAAGTTTTTATAATATGCGTAAATTACACAATGAAGTCGTAATGACAGGTACAGTATATAAAAACACTGTGCAACTATGTAGATGTTTAATTGTACGCATCAATGTTTAGATCAACTGTTTGTTTTGAGACCGGTATTGCGCCACAAGATGAAAAATAATCGACTATTATAATTCCTTCTGCTTCAGTAGCGCTGTTGTCTTCTTCTAATCTGAACAGATAATATCGCATGTGACACGAAAATGGTAAATAGTTACGATGAAATAGACATTACTCGACATAGATGTCAGCTGCGAACAGTATTTCTGTTGACGATAGTACCCTTCTTTATCCGTAGTCTCTGGATCTAATAATTGTATGTGCCGCCGGTTTGAAGAGTCAAAACAAACCTGTGTGATTTGCAGTAGTTGTGATTACATTTCACAGAAAAACTATCAAATAGCATCGACATGAGTCGAAGAAAAAGAGCGAAGGTTTGTATCATTGTCCTCCTTGACTACACTTAATGTTGTCTCTTAACAAGGTTATAATTAAACGGAGCATTGTTATTGTAACCGATTAGTACTAAGAGGTTTTTGATATTTATTTTACAGATATTTGTTTTCTAAATGTTTCCTAGTATTATAATAAACGTCAACACAAGTTTCTTGACATTTAATTTGTATGTGTTTATGGATGTAAATATATAAATTAGGTTATGTTTTGGTTAAAAATACTATTTCTTGTCCATTTTAATTTGTAATCGATTGTGAATTTCATTTCCACTTGTTGGAATTATGCACAGTATGTATGTTCTTTCATACGAAGATGTTTTATGCAACTTTTAATTCATAAACGTATGGTAAAATTTTTAACCTATACATCAAAGTAAATTTCTGTACTACCAACAACACTATTTAAAAAATATTTGTTACTGAAAGCATTTGTTATATATTTTGTTTATTTGATTTTAATACAGGTGGAGTATAGAGAAATGGAGGAAAAGTACAATCAATTGGAAGATGAAAATGCTTCAGATACGTCAGAGAAATCTAAACCCGGACTTGTGACGCCAGAAAAAAAGGTTGTACCTGAAGTTAAAAAAGAATCCGAGACTGCTATACCACAATCTGTCCCTACATCTTCAGTGCCTAAACTTGAAGTGAAAGATGAAGATGATCAAGATAGCGATCATGAAGATCCTCATGGTACATATATGTGCTATCAAAATGTAGTTTTACTTTATGAACAAAACCAGTCATAATCTATATGTACTGTTATTATAGTGAAAGAATTGCTTAATGGATTGGAGGGGGCAGCATTTCAAAGTCGTCTTCCATTCGATAAGTTAACTTCTACTGAAGCAGCCTGTTTTCCAGATGTTTCTGGTGGTCCACCGCAAACTCAAAAAGTTTTCCTTCACATTAGAAACAGACTTGTATGATGTTTATTTTTCAATATATATACTTAATAATTTTTATTTACAAGTATCTTTATTTCAGTTGCAACTGTGGCTTGAGAATCCCAAGCAACAGTTAATAATAGAAAATGCTTTACCAGCAATAGAACCACCTTATAACAGTGACAGTGTATTGACACGTAGAATTCATGCATTTTTAGAAAGACATGGTTTTATTAATTTTGGCGTATTTAAACGTCTTAAGGTAACAAATATTTTTAAATTGTTTATTTTTAAATTATGTTGTTTTACACTGTGTAAATTACTGATCATATATTGTAGCCATTACCTACTAAAAAATTAGGTAAAGTGATAGTGATTGGAGCAGGCATTGCTGGCTTAGCAGCAGCTCAACAAATGCAGCAGTTTGGTTTAGAAGTAATTGTACTCGAAGCAAGGGTAGTTATTTCTTCATATTTTTCCTAATATATGCAAAACATGTATATAAAGTTTTAAAAATGTGTTTATTTCATAGGATCGCGTCGGTGGTCGCATCGCAACGTTTCGTAAGTCATCGTACATAGCCGATTTAGGTGCTATGGTGGTTACGGGTTTAGGTGGGAATCCTGTGACGACGCTTAGTAAACAAATTAACATGGAGCTTCACAAAATTCGGCAAAAGTGTCCATTGTACGAAAGCGACGGTCAAACGGTTAATATAATTACTTTTCTCAAATTGAATGTAACGATTAAATATTTTAAAAAATTACTCATGAAGTTTTAATATTTTTATCACGCGTAGGTTCCAAAAGATAAAGATGAAATGGTAGAAAGAGAGTTTAACCGGTTATTAGAAGCGACATCGTATCTTTCTCACCAATTAGATTTTAATTACGTGGGTAGTGCCGGTTCCGGACAAGGTGGTAACACGCGACCGGTTTCCCTGGGTCAGGCTTTGGAATGGGTGATACGTCTTCAAGAACAAGGTGTCAAGCAACGTCAAGTTGCTCATTTACGTTCAGTTTTATCGCTTCAAGGTCGGCTTATCACCAATCAACATAGGGTAAACGTCTTCATAAGGATGTCATAACATTTTTATAAAAAAGAAATTCATGAAGTTCTAACACTATTTTTCATCCTATAGATGATAGCGATTATGGATCGTTTGGTGGAGTTGAATAAACAGTACAAGGAAATGACTGAAAGTAAATTACAAACACGGGACATAACTCAAGAATTTGTTTTACGTTCTAAATTACGTGATCTTCATAATGCGTGTAAGGTACGGCTTCAGTAAAGTATCCTCATTTATACGCCTATGATCACATATCACATGCTACTTAACGTTCTTGTATTAGGAATGGGATCAACTTGCGGAACAGCAAAAAGAAATTGAAGCAAAATTACAAGAGTTAGAAGCTTCTCCTCCTAGGTAACTTCCTATATATTTCCAATACTTGCAACACTAACTACGCCCATATTTATCATGTAAAATATAGTACACGTTAACGAATCAAATCTATATTATTCATAGCGACGTGTACCTCTCCTCGAAAGATCGTCAGATATTGGACTGGCACTTTGCGAACTTGGAATTCGCCAACGCGACGTCGCTGTCGAATTTGAGCCTGAAACATTGGGACCAAGACGACGACTTCGAGTTCACCGGCAGTCATCTTACAGGTAAGTCGTTTTTATTTCAGACAACCCTCGGACGGTCGATGTTATATCAATCTATTCATACATGAATGGAGCTGAATAAAATGAAACGCAAATTTTAAGAAATACAAATTTCCATCATGGTATAAAATTAAATACTAGATTGTCGCAGTAGTCGGCCGTCCGAGGTTTAAACGAGCGGAAATAGTAATTTCAGTTAAAGCGATACGTAAATTGTCCGTAATTATTATTGACTGTACGCGTTACTCATTGAGACGCGGCTTAGCACGCGAAAACATTCTAATTTCATAGAGACTACTCGATTCGTTGAATATCCCTGTTTGCCGGATCGCCGTGTACGGCATTATATCGACGTTCTCGAGAAATTGCTTAACCAACCAGTAGATGGTATAGATAACAGGTGAATTATTCGCGGGTTGCATCTCCTTTACAGGCGTCGGATAGTCTCGCACTCGGGTGTCTGTGCAGTTGACTTTATCAAGCTTATTGAAAGTCGATAGCACGAGATTCCGTGTAGATAGTCGCTATATCCTTTTAACCGATCTCGGTTACCGGAGTTCTCATTATGTGAAATTATACTACGATCATAGCGTGTAGCCGTGTAGCTCGAGCCAACTAATGCGTTAAACAAAACCGAAGGCGGCGAGAAATATTACTATAGATGATCAAGCGATTTCATATTTTACAATGTCCGACGATTCTGTGTTCCCAACTCTCAACGAGTCCGAGTTAACGGTGCCCGCCGCTGGCCTCTCCTAATCATTCCAGTATTTACGTTAAACGAGAGAACTTCACGCGAGATCATTGTTCGCATTGATCTTATGAAGCATATCGCGATTAAAACCATGAAGGGTTACTGTAATCTCATTGTTTTCATGGATAGTTAAGCTAAGTATACGCTTGGACATAATGTGGCGGAACATTGGATCTAGGAATATTACATTCTTAAAGAATCTAAAGGTGCAGGGACGATACAAGAGTCTCACTTTAATTCTATCATCAATTCGAATAAAAAGTTATATCAAATTTAACAGATATCAGTAGCGCGACATAAACGTGGAATCATGAAGGGTGATTGAAACAGGTAATTTTGGCAGAGGTCGGAGGGAAGTTCGGAGGGAATTCGAAGCTGACGCGTAGAAAATATCGTAGTAAACGCGGAACGGTAAACGCAGTTAATAGATACTCGGTGGTTGACGTTGGTGGATGGTGCGTATCGATGGACCGTAACCCGATGGAATAGCGCGGTCGCGTGTGTCGCTACTGGCAAGTACACTCGATTGACAGTGAACGAACGAACCGGTCGAGTCGAGCTCGAGTTCCAATATTGCTCCGGCGTCGAACGAGAGCCGAAGCCCAGAGGACGCGGCCAATCGAGTGCACCGTGCGAGAGAGCGATTCGACCGAGAGTGCTCCTTCAAACGGACGTTGAAACAAGAGACGCACCGAGTGAGGTTCGTTCTTTACGTTGGCCATGGTACGCGGCCATGGTGGTCAATTCGAAATTAAAGCGGTGCCCACGGTCCATGACTGACGTGCATCGATGATCATGACGATGGTCCGGCCGCAGGTTCTTCCCGGCGATTAATGAAATGTAAACAATTTAACGCTAAATTAAGCACAACAATAGGCTGTCCGGTGAATCCCATCGTCTGAAATGTTCAGGCCCAACGGTGAATCCACCGATGTAATCGGCTCTCCATCGAGCCTCGGACCTCTTCGCGGTCCTCCTCTTCGCTTTTACGGACCATCGGTTCCTTCTCGGTTTCAAACGAATCCCGCGGCAGGGTTAATAACCACTGACCGAAAAGCGTTTTAGGCACGAATATTCTTTCAGATACTTTGTACGCTTCGATTGTTCTTCATCATCGCTTTCTTGCGTCTTGCTCGGTTTCGCTTAATTCCCGAGATTTTTCAACGCTTGATCACATGTTCATGTTAGCTTCTCGGGTTATCCTGTTACGCGATCGGTACTCTTTAACGCATTTATATACAAGCTCTTTCAAATACAATTTCAAAGATAATGTATTCAAAGATTCTCCTTTTCTTCTCTACATCGAATTGTAAATATCGACGAGCAATACAGCTCGTGCGTTACGAGATATCTCGGTCAGAGGATCAAGGAAACTACGTAATTTACGTTTCACGAGTGATCGTGTATAACCGTAAGTTACGGGAAATGTTCTAGATAATGCGTTCATTCGCATTCGAATAACTCCATAGAAGTCGAGTCGCGGTTAAACAATCGATGCATCTCCGGTACGTTGTACCATTCTGTTTTTACGCTGACGGAGCAGCATTCTTTTCGACTCGGACGTGTTTGTTCCGACCGGTACAACACGATCTCGTCGGAGACCATTTGGTAGTAAAATTCAGGAATGTATACCGACCCGTAGTCGTCATCGTGTCGCTACGGCGATCTCGTCTTCCTTTTCGATCGGTCGTATACCAAAGAGTTATCGAGCTTTGTTCGCGACACCGAGGACTGGGCGCGTCCTCGTCGGAGTTTTCGGTCATTCGTTGGTCACCACGAAAAAACGTAGGCAGCACGATATTATGCGCGTATATACACGCGTACGGTACACGCAGCATCGGACATGGATGATACCTATAACATAGCCGGAAAGAAGGGGCCAGGGATGGGTCATTTACGACGTATCGAAGTCTTCTACACCGTTCGTTGACTCGGAACCTCGCATTCCGTGCCGTTCGTGTATCGCTACCAAAATTATACTCTCGTAAAGTTGACATCGTGTCTTTGCCTTCTACAACAACGTTCTTTATACAGGCTCGAATTCACTGAACCCTTGACATTCGTTTAGAACACTGATGTCCATATTTGTCGTCCCTGCAATTTTCAAAGATTTTTTGGAATCGTTCGCTGTTTTTTTAATTAACCTTTGTTAACTTTGACACGTTGAAAAATAAATGGTCAATATTGCACGTGTAGTTTATCGGCAGGCAGTATTGACAATATATCGAACGGTATACGCGTACAAATTTATTGCTCGAGTACGAGCGTGTGTATGGCAATATTGTAGCGTGTACACGAGCGCGTGTACGATAATATTGCACAAGTATACTGGAGGCTGTATGGCCGTCAAGTGTACTTGTTCAATAAATTTGTGCAAGTATACCGCTCAACTATGCAGTTACGCGTGTAGCTTCACGAGTTTAGAACAAAGCTCGGAACTTTCAAATATTTCACCGACAATATCCACGAGGATCCTCGGAAAGAATCCGAGACATCTAGGCCAGAAAGATTCTCCATAGCCGAGATCGAAATCAAGAGCCGAGTTAAGGATCGACCCTGGTCTCACAGGTGCGTTTCCCAATATAACGTTCGAAGGAAAATTTACGAACAAGGAATATCGAGAAGCACATAGAATCCCACGGCGCGGCTTAATGAGCTTTCGCCTTCGATCTTCGATCGATTCGGCCGGTGTTACCGAAGTCTGGAAATAAACGACGGGTGGATGGGTCGAACGATCCTGGCTCATTTGGCGAAACAAGCTTTACCCTCCCTCTTTCTCCGGGGGGAAAAAGGACGAGCGTAAAATAGAACGCGTCGTCGAAACGCGGCGTTTTTCGACGGAGCTCGGGACCCGGTACGAGTGTATTTCCTCGACGAGGACGAAAACGTAGGCAGCTTAACATTAGTTGAGCCGAGAAGTTGGACGGCAAAGGGGGCCCCCGAGTGGTAATTTACGAGGTATCGAAGACCTTGTACACTCCTACCCGCCAACGAGCCGGCCTCGCCCCGCGGAATCCAGTCTTGGCCTTAACGCACCGATACCTTTCCCATGACCACTTTCGGCCTATCTGTGCACACAGCGTGTGCACGGGTATAGTCGTCGGCAACGATCTCTTCGTACGAATAGAAGACTCAATGCCTTCCGCTTTGCTGGAGTACACTTCATCATACTTAAGTTTTGGTACTCGGTGTTTTACTTTCAAGTTTCCTCATTTAAAGCTGTCAGCTAACGTTAGCACTCGTAAGCTTTAGAATCCTTGTATTCTAAGTTGGTACTCTTAAAAGATAGTATTCTTAGCGATGGTCTAAGAGATAGTATTTAGAGTCATCACATGGACCTAACTATGCAGGTCCATGTTTTATTAGGCAGAGTCAGCACCTCCAAGCTTTATTACAGTGTCTAATATTTTGACACTTAGTTATTGCTTTGGTACTCTTGAACTTTAGTATCTTAAAATCCATATAATTTCTGTACCGTGAAGTTGAATGTACAGTGAACCGCTTTGAACCGGTAGAATGTAAACGGAGAGCAGGCATCTATGGCCGTTGGTGTACACGGTGCTATAAGGCTGTCTGGATGTTTGTGTCTTTACCATTTACAGCGTTCCATCCGTGTCGACGACGCGGTAGGGTACCTTGTCGATACAGTCTATCCTGAACCTCTGCTCTCCTCTCTTCCCATCTCCTCTTCCTCTTTGCTCGTGATCCGCGTGATTTCTCTTCTTAACGTCACCTATCGCCCGTGAAGTGTCAACGAGGCGATTTCTTAGCGCCGGTCGTTCCTCTGCCCTCGAACAAATGGTTTGCCGACACGCGTCCCGGATTAAGTCCTCCTGCCTTCGTACCGTCGATACCCTTTACCGCAGTTTCCTGCTACCTTCTTTTTATCCCTCTTTCGCGTGGAACTTTGGTTTTCGCGGACGTTCCGCGTGCACGCCAGAACTCTTTCTTCGTATAGCCGTCGACGTTGAGACATCGTTCAATTGTCCTTTCAGTTTCGTACCTTCTCTTTCTTGTTTCGCGGGGTTAACCGCGCACGATCGATTCATTTGCATCCGCGAGTGCAAGTGAAATATGCCAGCCACGACATTCTTGCTTAGTTTGTTAATCGACGCGTGTCGCTGACAATTTTATGGGGCTGCGCGGTGGTCCATGAATATCTGGCACACCTAAATATTTCCTAACTATTTTCACTACAAATTTACATACATTATCTGCTAATATTTTACATACATCTTCGAAATTTTAG